GAGGAATCCGTGGTACGTAGAAACCAAAATTCCGTTTGACATTAGAAAGTTTTTTAATTTCAATGGCCTCTTGCAACATCTTGGGTAGAAAATGAACTCTTTTACAAGGACCTAGGGTTTGTCAAATGTAATTGAATGTGCAACTTTATCGAGGTTATGTTCACAGACTTACTTATTTCTGCCACCAAGACGTAATGTGAACATTATTGTGTTCCGGTTTTGAAGAGAGAGGGTGCTGGTGAAATTACAGGCACATGAGACTAGTCCGTAAGTTGACTCAGGATGACGGGCGCAGTGACAGTCAAATCTTTTTACTCGACGGTCAAGATATAAGTCATGTTCTTTGATTTGTTTATTTATATGGGTTAAGAAACAACTGACACAATACATACTTAAAACTAATTTCTTTGTATAATAATAATATGTAGCGGTTGACCAACAAGAAAATTGAGACGGTACATGTTAAAGGTTACCGCTTTTGCAAAAACATATTTAAAACTTCAAGACAATTAGCACTGAAATACAATTTTTCTTCATCCCATAGAAACAGGCATTAGTTGTTCCATCGGCAATTGTTTGTTCTATTGATAAAGATGCCGTGGCCAGAGATATCGATCTTCTTTCTTCAAAAATTGGTTTTGTAATCACTTTCTCGTAGCAGCTGATGAGTTTACAAAATTGAATATCCGTGCAGCACTACTTACAGAGTCGTCTGTATTTTCTTAGAACCTTTACACGTCACATTTGTACCTCTATAGACAGATTCTGATATTTTATTTTATAAACTCATCAACCTGTAGTGGTGCATGGATATTATCACAAAATCATGGACCATGTGAATCCTTTATATATAAAAAACCCTACTTTCCAAATAAAAAGCACTATTAACTTTTAGAAAGTTCCAAATGTTCTGTATTGCTACAACAAGTAGAGCAGGCGTTCTTATTTGTGCAACAATGTAAGACGAGATAAATGTACTTTATTGCAAACACTAACAATGCACAGCAAACACAGAATTACAACACAAAGTGTGCACAACTGGAGCTCTTATTGACTTATATGTAAAACGACCGTTCTTGCAAGGTGAATTTACCGAAAACTAGAACTCTAAAAGTGCTTTTTCACCAGAGAAGCGAGAAGAGACGAAGATTGAAATTTGTAAGACAAAATTTAAAATAACTCCTAGCGCATATTCGGTGGTAATGGTCTAGATTGACAAGGACGTGCGAGACGAAAACTGATATATTTATTGTTATTAATAATATGTTAAACCCTATTGCGATCTACATTAGAGTATTTACTAACTCTACAGCGCAATCATGATTCACGCGACACCGCGAGCCCGCATGAGCTTATGACGGCTATTTATATCAGTCGTGGGGTTGTGGGGTACGTATAATGTAAGATTTTAAAAAGTGCTCTGCAGTCAATTTTCAAAATTTATCAACCCAATAATTTACTCTATCGGTAGTAGTAGCCTAGTATTTCAGTATTTTTATTTTACTATACAGAAAGACAGCGCGAGCTCCCGCGAGCATGCAGTGGTTATTAATATCGATCGCGAGCTTGCGAAAACTATTAATGGAAGTTTTGGTGGAAATAAGCGAGATTTCATTTTTCGTCTCGTCTCGTCTGTGGAAAAGCACCTTTAAATAGCACGTAAATTTGAAAAGGCCATTTGGTGTAATCTTTTACGACGATCCAGTCATTGTCATTATTGAGGAATTATTTCTGTAATAATGGCCATCGAGAACCCATAGTGGTCTTTGTCAATGTAAATATCGTAAAGGAAAGATGGCCGGCGCGTGACTTGCACCGCGCTATGAGATTTACTTAATTTGCCGACGACGTGCGACTTACTGTACAAACAAGGCTCTACCCGCTTCTTATTTAAGTGAGATTGCGGGTACAGGGTAACAAAGTTAAGAAGATATTGCTGAGAATAAATGTACATTGTACTCTGGATAAAAAAAGTATCTAAATTACACAGAGTACTAAAGAACCGACCTCAAAAGTTCGTAGAATTACATCTATTCGTCAAGTTTTATTGAATTCGGTTACCGGAAAGTACGCGAAATCGGATTCATCTCAGCCAAAACACGGATAAAGGCCGTCCCCAAAGACCGCCACAGCGACCGGTCTTGCACTGCTTGCATTTTATGGGTGGTCTGCCCAGAGCCCACGCTATATCTTCTTAGAACTCGATGGTACCATCGGCTATCTGTAATGTGTGCCATTTAAGTTTTGCTGTGCTCTGGACTATACTCTGGTTTTTTTGCCATTACATGGTTTCAAATGGAAGTAAATTGTGTTTAATATCAAGGATACGTTATTTGTTTTTAACCGACTTGAAAAACAGGAGGAGGTTCTCAATTTGACTGTATTTTTTTGTGTGTATGTTACGGGATAACTTTAAAAATTATTATAAAAATTTGAGAACCGATTTTGATGATTCTGTTTTTGTTGGACAGAGGGTACCTCAGTATTGGTCTCATTTAAATTTGATGGAAATATTGCACCTCTAAGGGCGGCAAACTAGGATGAATCCGGTTTCGTGTACTTTCCGGTAACTGATTTCAATAAAACTTGGTAAATATATGTAATTTCACGACCTTTTGATGTCGTTTTTTAATAATTAATATATTTTTGAAAGTTTCTCAGTGGCCGGTCGGTTACCATGCCGGACTACCACGCAAAGGTTAGATTAGAGTTAGGTTAGAGTTTAATTCCCAAGCCGGTAAAAATATATTTATGGCCTACATTTATTTCTCTCATACACTTTAGGAGTAATTTGTAGTTGTCTGTGTGTGTGTGTCCATTGCACCCGCGATACTGGGTTTCCATAGCGCAAGGCTTTAAAAAAAATACTAAATAGTATAACTGGTCAGAAATGAATTTATTGTTCCACAAAATATTCTCCGTTAGCGTTAATGCACTTTTTCATATGAATGAACCAATTTTGTAAACATTTATGCCGCTCCTTCGTGACAATCTCTGAAACATATTTTTCATACTCTTCGAGAGCCTCTTCAGGTAATGAAAATCGTGGAGCGCGTAACTGGTTCTTAATTTTTGGAAATAAATAAAAGCCACAAGGTGCCAGGTCGGGACTGTACGCGGAATGGCTCATAAGGTCAACGTTGTTCACCTTCAAAAATTCATTTGTCTGTCTGGCCGTGTGAGAACTGGCATTATCGTGGTGCAAGATGAAACGGCGTTTACGGTTATTTTTTCGGATAATTTCCGACAAACAAATGATCGTGTACCAATTACTGTTCACAGTACAACGATTCTCCAAAGCAACAGCAGAGAAGTGTCCAGTTTTATTAAAAAAAAGACGCAGTCATCCGTTTAGAGGCACTTTGCACGCGCGCCACTTTGGTTGGTTTCGGCTCATCTCGAAAGACCCATACGCTCGATTGCTGCTTTGTTTTGGGATCGTAACTATAAATTTTTATTTCGTCACCTGATACTATGTTCCACACCAAATTTTACGCCTCTTCGTCGTTGAATCTGGTAAGCACGGCATTGCACCAAATGACGCGATCCGTTTTTTGAACCTCAGCCAAATTGTGTGGGATCCACCGAGAGCACAGCTTTCTCGCACCCAAATGTTTGTATAGTATTGATTATATTTGACTCATGCCTATACCTAAAGATGCCCGAATCTCATGGTATGTCACATACCTGTCTGTTTTGATCATACGATGCACAGCATCGATGTTTTTGTTGTTCACAGCGGTGGACGGGCGACAATCACTAAATTCGTCACTGAGATTCACACGACCGCGTTTCAATTCTGCAAACCTGTGCATAAATAGTCATCTTGCATGGTGCTTCATTACCAAAGGCACTGAGCTGTTAAATTACACCTGAAGTCGTAGAAAATCATACTACGAAAATTTTCACGAGTTAAATCCATGGTGATGCCGACAACCAATTTCTAAAATGACGCCACAATGTAAAAACAAGTGACAATCAGATGAAACAAACTATATTCTACGTCCAAAAAGTTCCATTTTGAAATGTTGTAATTACTTTTTAAATATTGTTTATGTAAGTATCCAGTTCCGAAAACTTATAGTGCGCCCTATGTAGTCGATCAGTAGAGCTGCATGTGCTCTCGTTAAGGGAAATACTGTCACCCTATAGGGTAGGCGAGTCAAATCATCGTTATTTTATAGGTAAAAAAAATATAATAAACCGACTCGCCCCTCCGTTGGCACGGGAGCCCTGGCGTAAGCTAGGGCGGCCGGGCGGCGTCGTGGTGAATGTTCACTGATCCCACGGCGCCGACTCAACCGGCGAGAGGGAAACCCGGGGGGGTTTTAGTGGGGTAGGCCCTCCAGTCTGGAGGGAGAGTCCCCACATAAGCCCTGAGTCTCCCTGGGCTCAGGGGTATCCATAAAGATTTCCCCCCCGTCAAAAAATAAATAAATAAATAAATAAAGGTAAAAAAATATACTTGATATCGTCATACTGATTAAACTCTACTGCTCATTCGTAAGGCACATTCCCCTGCGAAGAATGAGCTAGAGCCTCTAAGGGATGTTCTTTGTAAATATACATTTGAATACATTTATCATTACAATATTTAATTTAAACATCTTAGATGGAAGAGTTAAACGGGTCACTGCCACGGATTTTTCTCGTCCAATTACGCAGAAGCTGTATAATAAACCTTTAGTATCAAGTTTTTGTTTCATTATAGTTTTAAACCTGGTAATTTTGAATATCATACGAAATCTTATTATAGACGTGTATACATTGTCCCTTAAATGAATGTTGTGCCGTTGCTTGATAAACATTATAATATAAAAAATAAGTACCTATGCATGGTGTGCAGGAAAAGAAAAAACAATTCTACAATCGTAAATAAATTTATTAAATTAAGCATCATGACGCTAATCAATAACGCCGTATAACTGAGCCCGAAACCCGTATGTATCCGTCATCTTTTTTTTATTTCCTTCCGACAAGTCACTGCTCGGGCGAAAAATATGTGCATCCGCCATCTTGTTTTTCCTTTCTCCAACAATTTACAAAACAAAATCAGTTAAAATCTCTTTTAAAAAAAAAATTGATTAACAATGAATGTTTTAAACTATTGAAACATAAGATATACAAAAAGAAAAATTACGAATATTACATAAAAATGTATCGTTTTTTATATAATACCGAGTGACGCTACAAACAAGTCGTGGACCTATTCTATTTTTCACAGCGTACTGCAGCGCGTCAAGGAAGTTTGCGGAGCAGCGGCGGGTGGATTGTTTCTACGCAACGATGCGCAAGCGCTGCACGTCTCTGGCGTGTAGAGTCGTTGTCAGCTCTAACACCAATCTGAACATTTATTTATTTATTTATTTATTTATGATAACTTGTTACATTATTAATTCATAATCTTAAACTTAACAGTATTTTATAAACTAAAGTAAGTTTTTCTAAATGCCGACGATTAATCGCTAAGCGGTTTTAACAATAACAAAGAGAAAAATGATGAATGTATGTTGTGTTTGTGTGAGTGAATGGTATGATGTCACGTGCGATCATGATATACTAATCCTATGCGTGCGACCTGCGTAATGATAGTGTCGTTGCAATGTGACTTGTGTAATGTCTTAGTGTGCGTTAGTTGTCAGGTAAGTTTGTGGAATCGAAAGATGTGTGATAAAGCGTGTTTTATTTTAAGTTTGGACTTTCTGTAGTGTCATTGAATTTTTTTTTTTTCTTATTTAAGAAGTGTTCCTTTAATTTGTACTTAATGTTTCTTTCATTAATTTCCTCCTTTAGTTGTTTAGGCAACTCATTAATTAGGGAAGGTACTTTGACATTCAGCTTATTTTTGCCGTAGAGATTGGTATAAGACGGCACTACAAGTCTACCCTCGCGCTGTCGACGGGTTCTTATGACTCCGCTATAGATTACCTGCCAATCCTTAACAAAGTACTGTTCAGCAAGTATACAATATAACATGTATACATACAAAATAACAATATATACATGATTGCAAATAGACTAGACTGACCGTATCTCGCTCATTGCGGCAAGGTTCATGTTATGCATCATTGTAATCTTTTATGACATTTATGTTTTAATAATGACATTTAAAGTTATTATTACTAATTTTTTTTATAACACCAAGTGACTGGACGAACAAGTCGTGCGCCTGGTGGTAAGCGACAGGCCTGTCCATGATAGTTGCAGTGCCACTCAGAGTTTTAAATCGCTAATATTTGAGGGACACTGCCACTGCGCCCGTCACACTGAGACGTAAGTTGACAAGTCCCATGTGCCTGTAATTTCACCGTTGTTACTGTAAAGTAATATTTAATAGGTAAGTAAATTACACTTGAAGTAGTCATATTGATTAAACTCTACTGCTCGTAAGGCAGATTCCCCCGAGTCAAATGAGCAAGAAACTCTATCCGTTAGTCTTTGTAAGTTTCAACATTTATTCATCATTTGAAACATTCGTACGCATTTATAATTTATAATATAGATCCAAATAATATCAATCCTGTCTTTTCTCTTTTGATTTTTTGTGTTTGTTCTTGGGTTTAATAAAAAGTTATTGTATTTTATTCTATTTCTATGTCATTAAATAGCCGCTATTACCAGGTTTGAGCCAGTGTCAGTTTTGTTGCATTTTATTGTTATATTATTGTTGGCAGCTTTTGGTCAAATCAAAATAGTGATGTCCCGAAGGATCGACTTGACTGACTTACTTAGTAGATCGATATTAATTTTAAACAATTAAGAATTTGGTTACAGTAAAGTAATAGAAGTACGCAGAGACTATAGATTAATCTCATAATCGATCTACACAAACGCGATGCAGTCGCTAATCGTCTGTCTTTATGCTAAACTCACACTGGCGCAGAGTCGCGCGACGATGGTCGCATTAGCGCGCCCGGATCACAGTGTGGTCGGCGCCTGACGCGTCACTGCGCGCAAGTGACGCGCGTAACCGCTCGACTTTAACCAAGTGGCGACACGCGATTCCATATTTGCATAACACAAATTTGTACCTTAATAATGGGAAAATAGATATGAATATGCTACAAGCGAAAAGCATGACGCGTCGCGACGCTTTGACTCTGCGCCAGTGTGAGTTGAGCCTTAGAGATGGAATATTTTCTTAAAATTAAAATGGAACCAATAAGGAGGTACCCTCTTTCCAACAAAAAAAGAATCCTGAAAATCGGTTAACATCACACAAAATTGAGAACCTCCTCCTAATTTTCTGAAGTCGGTTAAAAAGTGTCAGATAGTACATCGAATCAGCCGGAAGCCGTCCACTGCTGAACATAGGCCTCTCCCAAAGATTGCCAGACTAGCCGGTCGGGCGCGACGTGCATCCATCAGTTACCCGCCGCCCTTACCAGGTTATCCGTCCATCTAGTAGAGGGCCGTCCCACTGAACGCCTCCGGTTCATGGTCTCCATTCTGCCTCGCGGTGTTAAGATTTTCCCTCGCGGAATGACTTACTGTCGGCGATTTGAACATAATGTGAGGAGCCTGCTGTATACTTGTACGCATCTAGTACTACTTCCTTATTTGGTACCTAGTAGCAATGGGACGTGTTGTATTTTTTTCAACTCAAGAGTTGAGGTGGCCGCTAACTCAAGTTGCAACTCGAGTTAACTCGACTCGGTGTCTGACAGTACAACCGCGAGTCGTGAGTAGAATTCAAACCGACGATTCACCGAGTTGGGCACGATCGGCCGGCCGACCGCGACTCGAACGTGCTCCGAAGGTCGCCGAACCGACCTAATGAGAACGAATTGCCGATGAATGAAGTATTCAACTTCGCGGGAACCGAACCGAACTAGCTCAAGTTTACAAAAAGTAGCTCGAGTTGACTCGTTGTGGGAATAACTCGACTCGCCCATATCTCGCGACTCGAGCGTGCACCAAAGGTCACCGAACCGACCGAGTCGGCTCAGGGCGGGTACCGAAGCGAGTTCGGAGTACCGGGACGCTGCGAGGGCGCTAAGCCTGGCAGTAAAAGATGTCAGGGCTCGATTCTGGGGCGAGCTCCTCGAGAGGCTGCAGAGGGATACATGAGGGCGGCCATACAAAATGGTTATGGGCAAGCCCCGGCCACGGGTCCCTCCGTTGGCGATAAACCTCGACCCTGCGTTCGTGGAGAGGGTGGTGGTCACCCTCTTCCCTAGGGTCGAGAGCAGTCCCGCGACGGGGTCGTCGGGACAAGTGTCGGTGACGGATGACGACACTTGGTCTAACGATCTCGGCGTGACAGACGAGGAGCTGGATCGAGCTGTGAGGAGTCTCGGTGCTCGGAACACTGCGCCTGGCCCGGATGTTGTCCCGGTCAGGGCGTGGGTGTTGGCTCTCCACGCCGGATTGGGGAACCACATGAGATGGCTGTTCACCAGCCGTCTCTGGAGCGGTTTGTTCCCATCCGGTTGGAAGTCGGCGAGGATGGTCCTCATAAAGAAGAAAGGTCGACCCGCAGCCTCTCCCTCTGCATACCGACTCATAGGCCTGCTGGACGAGGCCGGCAAGTTGTTCGAAAGAACACTTGCCGAACTTGACACATCTGTCGCGAGTAGGGCCTTTTTTCTTTTTTCTTTTTTTTTTGACGGACTCCTGAGTCTCCCTGAGCGCAGACTCACGGTTACAGACTCCCTCCAGACTGGAGGGCCTACCCCACTAAAACCCCCCCGAGTTTCCCTCTCGCCGGTTGAGTCGGCGCCGTGGGATCGTCGCGAGTAGGGCCTGACCTGTCGGAAGACCAGTATGGCTTCCGGCAGGCGCGGTCGACAATGGACGCGATCCTTCGCGTTCGCACACTATCGACGCAGGTACTATCCCGGGGCAGAGTGGCGTTGGCGGTAAGCCTGGATATCGTCAATGCCCTCAACTCCTTGCCCTGGTTGACCGTTAAGAAGGCGCTCGAGTATCATCGAGTGCCTCCGTACCTAAAGCGAGTTGTCGGTCCAGGACCTATGGCGACAGGTACATTACGTACCGGGGTCGGGATGGCACAAGTCATCGCAGAGAGGTCGTGTAAGGGGTATGTCCTTGGACCATTCCTTTGGAACCTCGCATGCGATGCTGTCTTGAGGGTCGCACTCCCCCGGGCATGCATCTGGTGTGTTATGCTGATGACACCTGGTGCTCACCGGAGCGGAGAACTTCATGAGGACCACCCGGCTCGCTGAGCTTGGAGTTTCTCGCGTCGTCGAAAAAATCGAGGAACTGGGTTTGCGAATAGCGCCCCAGAAAACTGAGACGCTGTGGTTCCACAAACTCCTGTGAGGGAGGGAACCGCCCAGCCTCTCGATTCGCGTTGGTGACGTCGACGTCCAGGTGGGACAGTACTTAAAATACTTGGGCCTCGTCCTGGACAGTCGCTGAGATTTCGAGGAGCACTTCCGGCGCCTGGTTCCGCGGATCGATAGGGTAGCGGGTGCATTGCACCGGTTGCTGCCCAACCTTTCGGAGGGAGTTCGCCGTTTCTACGGTGGGGTGGTGCGATCCGTGGCCCTGTATGGGGCACCCGTCTGGTCACAGCGATTAATGGTTGTAATGGTCTCCTTCTGTGAAGCTGTGATGCTTCAGAAGGTGGTCGCCGAGCGTGATCAGGAGAGGGCTGATCCCGCTCGGCAGCAGCGTACCTTCGCGGCTACGGGCGATCGGAGCGGGGGCTTGGTTTGCCAGTAAGTTAGGCAGCCGCGAGGAGGACGGTCGACGGGGCGGTGTGGCCCGCTTCGTCGTGAGGAGAGGAGGGGAAGGACATAGCTCCTCCTAGGTGCTGGGGGGTTCCGGTGCGCAAAGTCGATCCCGGATCCCTCTCACTGGAGTACCCGAGATGGCCGCCGCGGGGTTTTAGCCGGTAGAAGTCCGGCATAATCTCCCTCATTCGCGGCGGAGAGGTATTTCCCCACTCAAAAAAAAAGAAAAAGGGTAACGAACCGAGTTAGCTCGAGTTCTTAAAAAACTTACTCGAATTGACTCGTTGTGAGAGTAACTCGAGTTAAACAACTCGACTCGCCCATCGTTAGAACCTATCGCTAATTAGTTAAGGGTATACTACACCAACGGTTGCACCTAGAGTCCTTTCCTACTTGGAACGGTGTATGGGACTTCCGTGATGTGTTGTCTAGAATGACTCGTTTACTACTGTACGCTAATTACTGTTGTATTGTACTCCTGTTGGACCGGCTGTATCAAGCAATAAACTGGTACAATACGGTAGAAAGTTTGGTTTCCTCTGTCACCCGTACTACGCTTTACTACATTGGTAAATTTATTACGTATTATAAAAAATCGTTAAACAAAAGTTGTTGTTTATGATGTTAGTAATGTAGTCCTGCGAGGTTATTAGATTTTAAATAAATACCCTTACCTTAAGAACGATTAGGTACATTATTCCAAAACTTATCTAAACGGGTCGTTGGTCGCCGTGTCTTGTTGTTAGCCAGCGCGCATAAATCGCAAATACCGTCATAGCGTTCATTATCTACATTAACTTCATGATAACTATAATATTCATGCCAATTAAAAAAATCTTGGTATTTTGGTGTGTTCTCGTGTACAATTTCCAACATTATTTTAACCAGTTCAGTCACACCCAAAAACCTGGCGTTCAAGTATATTCCATCGGGCAGGAATCTGTAAGAAATAATTGTGTACAGCGTTATTTGTAAACTACTAACAACTTCCCAGGACTGTATTACTAACATTATAAGCAACAGTTGCAAAGGGTACCTCAGTAGTACCTAACTTCAAATTTGAAGAAAATGTTCCACGTCTAAGGGCGGCAAATTAGGGGATGGATCCGGTTTAATGGATTTCAACTACTTTCCGCTAACTGATACAATTTTTTTTAAAGTTACAATTCTAAAAACATAATATTTTTTATTTATTTATTATTGTGCTATCTAATACTTTAAATCTGAATCTGGTAGTAAGGTAGTAAGTTCAAACATGCAAGCGTCTTCCCCGATGATCTATTTATTTAATTTCTTTTTTGTATTGATGTAATTTATGGATTAACTCACAACGGAATGTATTTTGAGTGGCCACGTAAATATGTAAAATAATTATTGTTTGTGTTTAAAAAATATAGGACGTTACTTAAAATTTATGTCGTTATAATTTTGACGTGGCTCTAACGACGCGACATCGCTAAGTTCTATTATAATGTTGGTAATACAAAGTAAAGACTTATTTAACTGCCTCCGTGGCCGAATGGTTACCATGCCGGACTGCCACGCAGAGATCCCAGGTTCGATTCCCGGGCCGGGAGAAAATAATAGATTTATATGTCCTACATTTATTTCTCTCGTGAGTTTGGGTGTAATTTGTGGTTGTCTATGTGTGTGTCCATGGCACGCGACACAGGGTTTCCCTAGTGGGGGCTATGTTGACTGTGTGCGTTATTATTATTATTATTTAAAAGCATAAATCTTAAAGCTCCACACATTGTAATGTTGAACTTGTATTACAGTTATTTTTTTAAATACAATTTATGTGCCGCAATTCGTTTTCTTCTTTTAAATATTATGGCCCTAAAAATGACTATGTACGATTAGTTAGTTAGTTTTGTAAAAATATTTTAAAAAAAATATGGCGGACGACGCCACTAGCAAGGACGGTAGTTTACTTCCAATTTGCAATTTGTTGCAATTACCGTATTAGATATAAAGGCAAAAAAATATCAATCGGACGCCACTAACTGTTTCTTCGATTATTGAAATTTCAGGCTGGTTTCACAGGTGTGCGGATTTATCTGCGAATTTGCGCGAAGCACCGGAGCGAAGTAATACGTGTGGCGTTAGAACATCGTTTTACAGTGACGATGATTTCTCCGTACGGAACACACTCCGCGTGAATTCCGCATAGGCCACCCGTGTGTTCATTGAAGGCGACTGTCTTCCGTGAATATCCGCACTAGATTAAATACACGGTTTAGAGCACTGCGGATTCTACGCATGCGGATGACCCGTACTGGACCGTACGCACAACTGTGAAACCAGCCTAAAAGAAATGAAAAACGGACAGCCAAAACAAACCTCGTATAATTAGCACCGCCATAGACTACGGGCACCGCATAATTATGTAAAGCATACAACAATTTGTCAGTCACGTAGTCTTCACCAAGTGCATCCTCAAATGCCAGAAAGAAATAATAATCGCTCCTAATCAAATCGGCACATTTAGGTACACGCTTTCCTGTCTCGTATTTCAACTCACATTGCATTTGTCCACAACCTCCAAAACTATGCAAAACCTGTCCAAATTTATTCAATTCCGTTTCTAGGCTTTGAACAAACATTTGCTGTTCGCTAATTAGCTCACAGCGCGAAGATATAATAGCTGCTATATACTTTTTATCTCTTATTTTGTGCAAAATGCTGGTACCCATTGTTGACATTTCGTCTAAGTTATAGTCCCAATGCATATATTTCCGAGGCCCTATTATTTCATTGCGGTTATTTTTTATTATAAAAAATGGACGTACTATATCTGATGTAAGTTTGTACGTCCAGGTTAAATCGAATATAATTGTTTTGTCTTCTATCAAGCAGTTTGCAGCAGGTTCGAAACCAAGGAAAATTATTTGCTGATTTTCTGTAACGCTGGGCAGTGAATTTATGCCATTACAGAAATCTCTTGCATTAAACAATATAACGTCATAAGTTTTTATGTCATTGAAATAAAAATGATCGGTGGTATAAAAGCAGTTAACGAAGCTACAATTTCTAGACAAAAAGCCATGTTGACCTACTTTAAGATCTGGGTAAGCAAATTTCAATCCTGGAGTTGTCCATTCGCCTATGTAAATTATACCATGTTTATCCAGTGTACTACATATAGAAATATTGAAAAGTACTGTGATAGTGGTTATTTCTTTAAAAAAATTATAAATAACGCCGATTATTCTATTTGTTACCCGTTTATCCATTTCGAAATTATCAATTTCTTTTACGGAAGCATAAGCAGTACCAGATTTTTAGATAACGATGATAAAACCTAAAAACATGCACCGCTGGGTTGGTAAAGTATTCTTATGAGCACGAAAACTCATGTTTTTATAATTTAAGTACTATCTATCTAACTATCTAATACGTTCCAAGAAAACAATGAGTATCTGTGAGATAATGGACCCATTGAATTAGTACATATTTATGTATTGTACAATAATCGAGGTATTAATTCTGTAGTCCACATATTTTGCCTAGATGATTCTGACAAGACTGTTACGCGGGTCTCGCGTAATTAAATGGAAGGCCACCGTCGGTCCACGTTAGAAAGAGAAGGTACAGAAATGGAAAAGAACAGGTAAAGTAAAGGCGTAAAGGCTGTAACGAAACATAATGATAAAAAAACAGGTACAATCGTATAAAAACCATTTCCACTTAAATTAAATATAGGTTATAGTAAAAAGGAATTTACCCCAAAAGGTTCTGTATTTTCTAGAAATACTATGCTTATAAGTAGTTCGGTTATATGATTTTCAATGATACTACAAATATAATACTTTACAAGCAGTTAGGTTACATAATTTAACTGATCAGAATTTCATGTGAAGTCGAGCACGTGTCCTACCCAACACTAGAGCACTAGTGTTAGGTAGGACATGAAATAAAAATAAACTGACTTTGAGGGAGTACCTCATTTGAAATAATGAGGTGGTACAATGTTCTACTTCAAATGAGGTGAGGTAGTGGTAAGAATGTTAGCACCTGTAGCAATGTCTCAACAGACAGGAAATATTAACCACATTTTCGTAACTTGATAGTATTAATCAATTGGATGACTTAACTTTTATGATATAGTATAAATAAATACTAATTTTATTTAGTACTATGATAGCATGATCATATGATGTAAAATCAGCTAAAAAGCAGGTACTGCAGGACCAATTATTGTTGAATTCGAAGAAGTGTGACATGAGTGAAGCAGTGTCATAAAGCAATGACATGAGGTGAGGTGTGAGGTGGGACATTTGTCTGACCTAAGAACTCGATATGAAGTGTTGTGACAAACTAACCAAGCGAGTAGTACAAACGAGTTGCCTCGTGTATGAGTAACTCAACACTAGTGTGCTCGCTTCGGAGTAGAGTGTGGCGACGGAAAGAAGAAAAGTAAGAGTGACTAAGAAAGATAATTTAAGAACGATTCAAAATTTCAAAGTAGGTGGCCAGGAACTCGAGAAAAAAGGGTGACAAAAGCGTGGATGACGGTGAAAGAGGTTGCATCGTCACAAGACCAAGACGGTAGTATCATAACAGCAAGTACACTTCACTCGAAGCGTAGGATTGTTACATTATTATTTTAGTTGTAGAGGTTGGAAACACAATTTAAAAATAAGGTAATTAAGTCTATTGAATGTGAGGATACTTCACCACCAACATTCTAGTATAATTCTAATAATTCTGATCGACAATACAAAAGCGGTTTCAAGAGTTGCCATTTATTAAATGTAAATGGAGGGCAGCAAGTTCTAATAGATAATATTCGGAGAATTAATATGCCAAATAATATTCTAGATAAGATTTCAATTTCGAACAATAGAAATTATGCCAAACACAGGGAACTCGGGATGACATTAAGTCCGCCAACGTATATTTCGTAGATAGCAACCATGCCATAAGTCTAGTAAACGGGCAGCTACATTTCCGCGTGCAGAAAATTGCTGCTTGCGAGGTGTTTACGGCAACATCGACTCACGCATTTGGATTCCTATAGAAGTTAGCAGAGAATACCGATCGCCACTTTTGTAAGATGTTGACATTAGTAGCTATAGAGCTCCTAGTGAATAAGTTCGTCCATGGAAGTCCTGCTACCTCACCTATTTCTGCCGCCAAGCAGCAATGCTCATATTACCGCGTCCTAATTTTTAAGGGTGCTGGTGAAATTACAGGCACATGAGACTTAGCTCTGCGTAGCATTCATTCGAGATATTGGCATCTGTAGTCATCTTTGTCCACTTATGTCTCAGGGTGTCAGACGCAGTGTCAGTGCCCCTGAGATCGTTGTGATTTAAAGCTTTGAGTGGTACTGCAACTGCTTTGGACAGCGGTATCGCTTGTGACGGTGTGACCTCCTTACACCGTCATCTCACCTCTTTGTATCGCCTCTCTCCTCTTGTATCTTATCATTTTTTTTATTTTACATGTATTTAAATTTTAAATTTGAATTTTTCCATCTTCCTTCACTTTCTCATTTTGTTTTCGTACCACGGTCACTCCCAGCTCGACCGCCACAACAGTCAGAGCTGTTAGTAAGCTAATCGTGTGTAATAATTTACAAGTCTACACCCTTCATGTATCTATTTCTGTAATTCAGTTTCTCGGCCCATTTAGGGGTAAGTGCCTTAATAATAAAGTGTAGGGAGTGTTTTATACTGTTATACCTGTTTTTTTTACATTTACCTTTATATTGTTACAGCCTTTCTTTAAACTTTACTTCTTTAATAAATTTTGTGGACCGGAAGTTTCCCATTTCATTGCCGTGAACCTGTTCACGGCTAGTTAGGGTTACAACCCTTTCACGCTTACCATAAGGTTCAAGACTTGTTCATCCCGTCGCTTAGTGTCAATTGCGTTGCTTATGATGAAGATGACATGACTGCTATGGACAGGCGTGTTGCTTACCACCAGGCGAACGACATGCGCGTCTCATCGCTAGATATCATATCAATCGCACAATCACATTAAATTTTACATACAAGCGCAGCTATTTTTCACACTACGCACTCCAGTATTTTTAAGAAATTTATTGTTATAACATTTTCTATTGAAAAGCTCTGTACATCGTTGGACTACGACACTATGACAGTTTGCAAACAATATACAATACTTAACATTAATTTAATACGAATAATCTTTAGCTTGGAACCAATGGCAATTGTGCACAACATTGAAATTAAATAGATTAAGTTAAATATCCTATTTAAAAAGTGAATTTTAATTCATTTATGGTGAGAGTACCCACTCAATCTTCGTGAAGGATAGTTCTGTGTACAGAACTTTAATGAAATTTCAGCTCAATGACAAGTACCATAGACAATTGAATTTTGATTCAGAACTAAAGTGATATGGTTTATGAAATTATAATTGACAGATTATATTACAGGACCTTAAGCTGCCTTTCCACCAGAGATGTTCGACGTAGCGAGGCGGTGTGCGAGGAAAAAATCCACCAATAGGATTACTTCATTTTCCTAGCCTCGCTTAGCGCTAAGCTAAGTATTTTTACATACGAAAAATCTGTACGAGAGATGTGTGCGAGGGTTGCGGGAGACGAATGTGTGCAAAACGGTACAGGAAACTAGAGCTACCGAATGTATGACACTAACTGACACTGACATATGTCAGTTAGTGTCATCACTCATCTCGTGCCACCACTCACCCCACCACACCATATCCCGTCCGTGCATATACAGCTTTGGTGGAAAACATCACACGGTTTCACAGCGCCGTTACCTATCCTTGCACCGCCTCGCTACCTCGCACATCTCTAGTGGAAAGGCAGCCTTACTGTGAACTCTTATCACTTTTCAGTTTCGGATATAAAATGAATCGTTGTGAGACAGCGCGACATGAAGTGTATATCAACATCTTGCTTTTTAACGTTACGGACCTATACTAAACTGTAATAAGAGTTCATGGTGAGGCCGCAAAAGGTGACAAATATTTAATATATATTTTTGTCAAATTGTAACGATGTGACCCCCTTCCATCGTCATCCCACTTTTTTATCGCCTTTTCTCCGGTTGGTTCCTGGCTACTCGTTTTCAAATTTTGAATCGGTCTGTAATAATTCCTTTGCTTCGCCATTCTGATTTTATTTCGTTCCAGCGTCTCTCCACGATCGCAGCAGCAAACACGTCTTCTCGTTAATTTTTAGAACCGTTTACCAGTTACCAAAAATCTCTTGTGGGATAAACATTTTAAAGATCACAAATATTAAGAAAACGGTAATAATAACTGGATTTATTACCACTATTTATTTACCCTTTTGAATTTTGAACTTTAAACGTACTACGCAAGATGTATGGAGGCTGCGAAGGGTACTACTCTCCTGGCTACATTCAATCCACAGAACATTCCAAGCGGTACCAGCTGCGGTACACGCTTTTCAAAATTTATAACTTTCCACCAGTCAAGCGACACTCCTGTCTATACAATTGCAATGCCACTCAGAGCTTCAAATCGCAAAAATCTGTGACGATGCAACCTCGTTCATTGTCATCCCACCTTTTTATCACCCTTTTCTCTGGTTCCTGGCCACCTACTTTGAAATTTCGAATCGTTCTTAATTTCCTTTTCTTCGTCACTCTTACTGTCGCCACTCTCTAAAGACCAATGGCAAAACCATACTTAAAATAATTCGTTAGCGTCTTCAAATGTCTTAATTACAAGTTACAATAAAATAAATTTATTAGGTTTTTCAAATCGGCGTATCTAAGTCTGGAAACAATAACTTTTTAAAAGAAATTCTAATGACTAATTAGTAGTAACCGGACTAATATTTATACAGTATCTTAGTTTCTTAACGTCGAGCGACATCTAGCCGCCACAAAAGACATTTCAGTACATACGTATGGATATGGTCCACATTTAGTTCACGTAA